CTAGCTTTACTCTACCAACTTTACACTCGCCACACAAGGCTAGTAGTCCTCTTTTCCCATCATTTACAAGTTCGGCTAAAGCAATGGTTTTAAAAATCACTTTATTTCCACAACAACGTGACTGATTTACGGTAGTACATCCGCATTGTTTTACCAGATGCACACTACAATTTAAACTGGCGTTAAATGTAATTTATTTTTTAGTAATAACTCAGTAAATAATAAAATGACGCATAATTTGTTCGAAAACACTCTCAGTTTAAGGTTTCTAAATCTAAGTTATACAATTAAACAGATATAATCTATCAAATATAAGCAATGACCAGTGGTCAGTTTCCCTTACGTATATCTCACATATCACACCATAGTGTAAAGATCAGGTTATTTGACTGGGGTCCACTGGTGGAAGAAAACATAATGGGAAGATGATCTGTTGACAGTGTTAATCCAAGCGGGTCCGGGGAGTTAATCCCCTCTAAACCACTGGACACGGTCGTGGCAGTTTACAACAAACCGTGTCCACACTCACCTTTTTGTCCCCGGGTACCACGGGCGGCGCGAGCGGCGAGTTCTTTGCCATGCGCACTAACTCCGTTACCGTCCACCGGAGATGACGTCGCGGAACGACCAAGATCTGTAAATAAAGGCCAATATTGGCAATATTCTCACCTCATCTCCCCGTCTTTGTCTCTTTAAACCCCCGCCCCATTGTCCTCGTGTGTCCGTCTCCACGTCGACCCCCTGACAGAGGGGTCGGGACTTTGCGGGATTTGTCGCCACGGTCCGGGATTAGAGGACCCCGCGCAGTGTGGCCCGATTAACGAGGGGAGCGGGGTCAAGCTGGTGGGGGCTGGTGAAAGGGTCTCAGTGCAGATGTTGAAGTGGGCGCCATGCATGTGAGGGGTGGGGGGGGGGGGGGGGGTGGGGGGGTAGGCTGGCTGGCTGGCAGTTGTCAGCCTCAAAACATGGATAAATCTTAGCATGTGTACAAAAATAAATCCCAACATGTGTACAAGAAACATGTATAAATCTTAGCATGTGTACAGAAATTAAATCCCAACATATGTACAAGAAACATGTATAAATCTTAGCATGTGTACAGAAATTAAATCCCAACATATGTACAAGAAACATGTATAAATCTTAGCATGTGTACAGAAATTAAATCCCAACATATGTACAAGAAACATATATAAATCTTAGCATGTGTACAGAAATTAAATCCCAACATATGTACAAAAATAAATCCCAACACGTGTAAAAGAAACATGTATAAATCTTAGCATATGTACAAAAAATAAATCGCACCACGTGTACAAGAAAAATGTATAAATCTTAAAATGCGTAGAAAATATTTATCTTAGCTTGTGTACAAAAGATATATAAATCTTAGCATGTGTAAAAAAATAAATCCCGGCATGTGTACAAGAAACATGTATAAATCTTAGCATGTGTATAAAATATTTCTCTTAGCATGTGTACAAGAAAAATGTATATAAATTATAGCATGTGTAGGTCTACACTAAAAAAAAATATAAATCTTTTAATCATCTATAAATACAGAAAGCATAAATGTTAACATAACATGCACAAGAAACAAGTATAAATCTAAAGATTTGTTCAAGAAACATTTATAACTATTTGCGTATGTACAAGAAACTAGGATACACCTTCACTTGTGAAGAGGAGACATATATAAATCTTAGAAGAGTGGCACGAAATAAAAAGTATAAATCTTAACTTGTGCTCAATAAACAAGTACACATATTTTGGCCTATGTGTAAAGTTCCATTTTCAAACCTGACGGTCTATTGGCCAAGTGAAGTAGAGTTCACTTGTTTCTGTGAACTCGGCATATGAGGAGATAGAACACTATGCCCAGCCGCTTTTACTTTCCCTAACGAGAGATAGGTGCCCATCAGAGTTGGGTGGACTCAGGGACGTTCTATTGACTTCAACCCGGATTCGAACTCGAGACTTACGGCAGTCTAGATCTCTACCGCTAAACCACTCAGTCCCCCTCAGTATGTGTACAAGAAAGAATTATGAATCTTAGTATGTGTACACAAAGTATAAACAAACATCCACTGCCACAGCTTTTTGAAGATATGAGTAGTAATGTATGAGACTTTGTGACGTACTCTCCACATACCTGTCACAGTTTCATACTGTGACCTTTACCCTGTCTCTGCCATGTGTCACTGTCACTGCTAGTTGGTAGGCTATTGGTGTATTTTCGGAGAGCGAAGCACCATCACCGATACCCATCTACAAGATCTGACTTACCTATTGACAAACTTTTTTGGACTTACCCAAAACATGGCGTTGATTGCGCTATTCTATGTAAAAAATGACTTTAATATAACTTCTTGTCCGGCCTGTATCATGACTTTGATTCACCTGAGTTCAGCCTGCATGACTGATGACTTAACCGCGCGCATCACCTGTTCGCCGATTTACCTGTCCGCGTCACGTGGTACGTCTATCCATCAAGAGCATTTATTATTTTAATGTTGTGTTTGCTTGTATCAGAGCCCCGCTCATCCATCCCATAGGCCGCGACATCGTTAGCTTGTCACATGAAAGCACAGCTGTCGACTCGAACCTGTGGCTTCAGGTTCTGGTAGGGAGCTGACATTGTTCAACCATACCCTGCTCTGGAATGTAGGTATTACATTGTTCTAACATTACCTCCCCTGAAATGGAGGTACTGATGTTTTACCAACCCCTCCTCTTGAATTAGATAACAATAACAATATTATACAATTACTTTCCCTTGAATGTAGATAACATTGTTATATCATTACCTCCCCTTACACGGAGATAAGAATGTTTTAAGGATATTCTAACATTACTTTCCCTTGAATGGAGGTAAGATTGTTCTGCCACCCCCCTCCCCTTGAATAAGCTAACAATATTATACCATTACCTCCCCTTGAATTGAGGAAATTGTGTGTACCATTATCTCTGCTTATATGTATTTTACTTCCAGTGATGCAGCTTTGTACAACACTTTCCCGTCCGTAGTATAGCAGTAATAGTGTCCAACCTCTTACCTCTCAAATGGGGGGGGGGGGGAGGATTGATCAAATACCATATACTAGCTCTGTAACATTTTATAACTTGAAACAACAAGCCTTACCATAACCATCACCGTACAATGAATAATGCTCCCACCCTCCTCCCCATCTTATGTAACCCATAAGACCCCTCACCCTACCCATAAGTACCCCTCACCTTACCCATAAGACCCCCTTACCCTATCATCACAATACACAAGACCCCCTCTCTTCTACCATCACCAAAGAACACCGAATGTCCCCCCATTGTAGTGGTTATATCACTCATGTAACAAACTCCATATACGACCACAGTATGGATACTATGTCGGCACTAGGCCACATTGGGACAACCAGTATGTAACTAATTAGAAAGTATGACATATAAGGAAGACTTTACTATTTAAAAAAGGGAAGATCTAAATATTTTCCGTATGCTTGTATTCCATACGAGAAAGGGCTACAATAATAATCACCTCTACAACGAATTACAGCATCTAACACGTTGATAACCCACCATTTCTTCCAACTGACCTGTACTATAGTAATAACACCCCCCTCCCTTATCTTTTATATCTACTACCCCCCCCCCCCCCCCCACCACACACACACCTGTTCCCATCGCTGGTAAAACTTGTTATATTTTGTGTAAAAAGAAACAAAACCATGTTGACCGTCAAACTTGTGGGCTGGACCTGTCTAACCCCCGTACACAGCAGGTGTCAATTTGCATAACCGTACCCTGTTGACCACCCTCCCCTGGTGTGTTGGCCTGTCTGGACGTCACGTCACGTCATCTGTTGTCCACGTGACACGTCATCTGTTGTCCACGTCACATGTGTCACGTCTTTAAAGGACGTCATCTTTTTGATGACAGCTATTTTAGGAACTGACTTGTTGTGTGTGTACTCAAGACAGAAGTAGGACATAAGCGATGTTCAGATTTTAATTAATACTTGATATTAATTAAATATGTTTACATTTAATTAAGTTTTTAAGGTATATTATTAGTAATCCTGATGCAATTACTGGCATTTCTAGCTAATTACTGTAAGGTTAATGACGTTATGCAATTTTGTTCTACATACCCCACATCGTCGTAGAAAGTCGTATTTTATTCCAGAAAATGACCTTGGATATTCCAACTTTATGCTAAAATTACTACAGTTTATTAGAAATATTAACCTGCTACCCTTTTTATAAATTTTTATAATAACAGCTATATATATATATATATATATATATATATATATATATATATATATATATATATATATATATATATATATATATATATATATGTTACCTTACCCGAACCCGAACCCCACCCCCATCAACTGTATTACATCGTCCCAGGAATCAACTCAACTTTCTTACAGAAATCAACTTTTTTATGAGTTTGACGTCATTTCATAAACGGCCAATACCTCGTCACTTCGTTGTACTAACTAATCAATAATTTATTGTTGTCTACATTTCATTTAGACTCCGTCCCTGGGCAATACAACGAAACCAGTAGCATTACTAATTATTATAAGTATATCACTCCCGTGAATATGACTTTATAGTGGTCATTACCTTACTACTGTGTAGTTGACTCTACAAAGGCCGATACTACTGTTATCATTACCTCACTCTCGTGTAGTTGACTTTACAAAGGCCGACACAACTGATATCATTATATCACTCCCGCGTATTTGACTTTATAATGGCTAGTCAGCCAAACACAACGACGCACTTCAAAACAAAGCGAAAACAGTTGGTGATATATTTTTCTTAGTTGACTCAATAGGCATAAATTTAACGCATCGCTTGCTACTCTAAAATGTAATTGGAACAGCTAATAAGTGAATCAATTTGAATGAACATTCATTATTCTCATTTCTAAAGTTATGAATTATTTTTAAAAAGTGAATAATATATTTTTTTTAATTATTGCAGTTCTGACGAAGGCCAAATTCAGCAACGAAGGACAGCCAAGATAATGTGGCAAGGGCAACTTCAAAAGATGTGTGGAGATGTGTGGGGATGTGTGGAGATGTGGGTATGTTGGTGAATTCAACCCGCCCAAAGACAAGTGTGTCGGTGAAAATGTCTACGTGGACCCATTCATCCTTGACACAATTCTATTCTGTCATGTTAAACATGACATTAAAAATGACATTTAAAAAGACATTTATACCTGTCTAACTCGATTATCAGATGACAACTATTTTGTGATTTTCTTATTTTTGTGCTAAATAGAAATCATGAAAAGGCTCTTACAAATGATTTAATTAGAGATCTGACATATACTGAATTATCCAATTTATGGAGATTTGTAAAATGCTCTGAAAATGATACACGTGAATCTTTAATACCTAATGTACTGAGCGGCCCTATTCATCAATCAATGAAATAAAATCCTAAAACATCATGTAGCCTGCACTTATAGCTAGGGCAAACAAATAACTAGCTACAATAGGTATAGGGACGACGTGGTTGTATGGTAGAGCATTCGACTGCTAACATGTAAGTCTCGAGTTCGGATCATGAAGAACGTCCCTGAGTCCACCCAGTTCTGATGGGGAAAGTAAAAGCTGTTGGACAAAGTGCTGACCACACTATCCCTTTATTCTTTAGTTACTGAAAAAGGTGAACACTACTTCACCTGCCCCATGGACGGGAAGGTTCGAAAGAGTACTTTTCCAATGGGTCCTATTTCACAACTCATAGTCTCAAAAGGTCTTTTGCCAAATTTTATATGTAATGTCCTCAAACCAGAGTTTCTTCCAGGCATCTCTACCGAGATGGAATTTATAAAGTAAAAATATACTTTTACTAGTGTCCGCCCCCCGAAAAATGTTGACCGCCCCCCCCCCCCCCAACGAAAATATCAAGTGCCCCCCCCCCCCCCCCCCCGGAGAAAAAAGTCTGGAAGAAACACTGCCTCAAACGACACGGTGTATAAAGTCTCAAAATTGTCTTAATCGATGCCACAAACTCGAAGAAGTCCTAAAATATCTACTTGTATATCTTGAGACATGCTATAAACAAATGTCCTACTAAAAAGTCTCCTACATGTCCTGCAAGATCCCTCTACAAAATGTCCTTGTTTAAAAATGCAAATCTAAATCCTCGTCCTCGTATATTTTTTTCCTCCACTCCAAACTCCCAAAATTTCAGCTTTTTCTCGCCTAGGCTGATTCAAATCTCTTGTCCAGGCCCAAAGATCGCCTCCCCTGCACTCCACTTCTACACGAAGTTTCCTCCCCCTTCAATCTTTAGAAACATCTTCATCTCCCCCCCCCCCACCCTCCCCTTTGTTTCATGTTGCCAGTATCTAATGACGGACAGCACTGCTATCATTTCGATTTGCACAAATCAAGTATCTCTCCCAACTTAACCCAACCATAATCCTTTTAAATTACAATTGATCGAATCAAGAAAAGGGAACGCGAGTTGCGGGCCTTGGACAGAAACACCGAAAAGGCTTATGGGGGGACGCTAAGGGGCGAAAACTCCAGTGCAGTGTTCTATACAAGGGGAGACAAGTCAAAGCTTACATTACAAATTACACTACTCTCCAACGATTGGAGTTGTGTGTGTTTCTTTAAAAATAACCATGTCATTAACTTGTTTTGTTTTTTTCTCGTTTTATTCTGAAGTCAGATGTATAAATAGACATGTTACTCACCATTATAAAACAGGAGTAATTTAAATAAATTTATACCCAACTCAGCAAAACACGCACAACAACATCACTCTCAACGTGCGTCAGACCAACTGTACATCTGTTCCCCTGTTGAAGCCTGACCCTGTTGCATACGTTTGAAAAAATAAAGTATACATTTACATACGTGCCTGTTGTTCATGTTGCTATTTTTGTGTTAATTGCCCGGTTCTATATGTTCATGAACTGTAAACACGGGTTCATTAAATTTTACTCACAGGACTTCGAACATGACCATTTTATAAAATGTAGTCATGCGGTTTGAACTGGGTGAGTAGATACCGAAGAGTGAGCAGTTTCATATAACTTGAGGCTCGCGCTGTTGAAGTAGAGTTCATCTGATTTTTTTAATTTTTTGGATCTCGGTATACATCCTGTGTTTTCTTATTTATGCCAGGTACCAAATAAAGCTGAGTGATCGCGCTTGGAGCGGATACAAATTTCGTGTTAGAGGTTTTCGTTTTACTTCTAGACTGTGTTCCTCAACGGGTATATTATTGCAGATGCTAGTAGTTATGAAAACTACAAAAAGAACCTTATACTTGTATTTTTTTTTAAATTGAGTTACACTACTTTGAAAATAATGGCTGCTTTTAATAGCATTCATTGTGTTAGACCCACGGTCGTGAAATAGCAAAAGCGGATGATAATAAAGATGACGATAAGTCTGAAAATAAAAACCATGATTTAAAAAAAAAGATGGCCGCTAATAAAACAAAGTAATGACTATGGGATGCGGACGCTTTACAGGAGAAAGTAATCCAGGATAGAAGTGTAATGTTTGTCTGTGAATTGTCTCCCTTTCCCTCTTTCGTTTGCTGGGGGATTTTAAAAACGCATTTTGGAGCGTGGCTTTCTTTTATTGCTGAGGGAAGAGTGTGAGGAATCGGAGATGGAGGGGGAAAAAAGGAGGATGGGGAGGAGGGCAGAGGAGGAACTGTAGGGAGGGAGGGACGGCGAGCACGAAACAGTGACAGCGCCGAGCAAGGCCCAAAGTTTGCAGGCTGGCTGTCGTTAATCCCGGGGCTGACAGCTCATCAAATTGGTACTCCAAAAGGAAAAACAATAGCATCGGATTCTGCATCACGCCTCGCCGTGCCCTCGTGCATGATCGCCAATTTATTGGGCTCATTTGGGCGCCAATCACCAGCGCGCGCTGACTCGGGCTCTCTTGTTGTCTGCGGCCCTCCCGTCTGTACCTGGCGAGTGGGGGAGGGGGTGGGGGGACGTTGTTGTGGAGGGGGGGGGGGGTCGGAGGTTATGATTAGGTCATGTGTGGAAGGGTGGTAGATGATGGTAACTTGTTAATGAGGTACATTAAGGTTAGATATTCTCTCTAATATATACACACCATCAAACGTAAAAAAAAAAAAACTAATTTAATTACTTACAATTATTATTAAAAAAAACATTATATTTTCTTTTCTTATATTGACAAATTAATCAACGAATCGAGGCAGAACCTCAGTATCCCAGAAGAGGTGTAGCGGTTAAAAAGTATCATTGTTTTATCTGTTAACATTTATAACTATATAGATGTGCACGTTATGATTAGGATCAGAGACTTATCTGACAGGAGTAAGGATTTAGAGTTAGTCTAGAGCAATAGGAGCTAAGGTTAGAATCAGAGACATGTGTTTATTGTCAAATAGATATCGGTAAAAGTTAAGACTTAGATAAAGAAGCCTAAGCTAGTTAACGTTTAGATTAATACGCCTCGGCCAGTAGAAGTTAATGTAAAGAAAATCAACAACTTAGCCTTCAGCCTTTCGGTAAATTGAAAAAAAAAAACAACAAAAAAAAAACAACACAAATTTGAATGAACGCAAAAACAAACAGCTTCAATGATTTTAGCCAACAAACATCTAGACAGATTTACGATTTGATGCCAAACAATTGGAAATTTTTTATTTTTATAAAAAAATATGATTTGATAAACAAGTACGTCGTGAGTAGAATCTACAAACTCTGTTGCTCATTGTATTGAACAATCACACACAAAGATGTAGGGGGTAGAATTAATACAATATGTAGCAAGCAGTAGCATTAAAAACAATACCAGATGTAGCGGGTAGCATTAATACAATATGTAGCAGTAGCAGTAAAAACAATACAAGATGTAGCAGTAGCATTAAAAACAATACAATATGTAGCAGTAGCATTAAAAACAATACAATATGTAGCAGTAGCATTAAAAACAATACAAGATGTTATAGTAGCATTTAAAACAATACAAGATGTAGCGGATAGCATTGAAAACATCATATTTGTAGTAGGTAAAATTGAAAACAATCCAAATATAGCAGGCAACATTAAAATCAATACCAATGTGATGTAAACAAAATAAGTAAATTACCCTGACGAAAATGACTGTCCACGGGGGAGGTGTATTAAGGGATTGTGTACGCAGCACCCTGGCTAGCCGATTTAACTATCACAAATGTGAGTCAGGAACCCGTTAGAGTTGGCTAGACTCAGGAGCATCGTAAGGACTTAAGTACGAGATCCGAACTAGAGACTTTAGTGTTCGTAGTTCAACGCTCTACTGTTCGACCACCCCGTCTCTTACAGGTATCGTTAAAATCAACACAATTTGTAGCGACTAGCATTATAACGAAGTTAAAACGAATTAATATATTAAAATGTTTTGAATTTAAAGTATTTCAATTAATTTGTAAAAGTTTATAATTGCGCCTTTCATTGGTTGAAAATTTAAATTTTACATAAAAATGATTCCTACAATCTGTTGTGTCGGATGCATTCATTCCAACCTGACTGTTCGAGATTTAACCCATGCTCTATGAAATAATATGACTATCTAAGTAATTTGAATTTTTCTAAAAAAAAAAAGTACTTCATATTCACATCATATCTCTCATGCAACACGATGTAGGTTTTCAATCATCCAATCAGGCACACACTTTTTCTCGGCCCCGGAAGTGACGTAGTTTCAGGTTTTTTGGTGAGTAAACACAGGGGCTAATCAGTTGCCAATTTGTTTACACAGAACATCATGGGAAGGGGGCGGGGGTGGGTGGAAGGTACATATCTGGTCCTGGTCGATGAGATCTGGTTCCAACTAGTGGGAGACATTTTTTTTTAAAGTAGAGCTAACAAGTCGTCATACCATTGGCACATATAAATATATGTATACTTCTATGATGTGATATATATATATATATATATATATATATATATATATATATATATATATATATATATATATATATATATATATATATATATATATATATATATATATACATATATATATATACACTTAAATACAGATTAAAATTTCATACACACATATATATATATATATATATATATATATATATATATATATATATATATATATATATATATATCGATTAGACCAAAAAGCAAAAGATTAAACACACACAGTCCCCCATACCTCGCCCACCATACAACAAGAGGGAAACGAGCAGACGCCAAAGAGAAGGCCCGCCAACGGTTGTGGCTTCTGCTGGTGCTATGGTCAATATATCGACTTACGCATAAATTGGGGACGTTTGTCCGTCCAACTACTCCCACACGCCCGCGTGTTTGACCAAAGCAAACCCAACCCATTGACCAGGGGCGGATTTGCATGGCTGACAGGCCGGACTAAAGAGGGGCGCGCCCAAATACATGTGCTCATCCGGCGTCCGGCAATTATGCCGGGAATATTTATGAATCTGGTCGGTCCTTGGCCACATATTCCAGGGGAGTTTACCCCCGCCGGCAGACATGATTAAAGAGCAGAGAACTCTCGCTGTTTTCAGGAGTCGCCGCTCTTCAGTAGATATTGTTTCAAAATCTTTTATTCTTTTGAAGTGTAATAACGGGTTTTTAAGATCGAGTTCTCCAATCAGGATCTTGTGCCAGGGTTCATGTACGATTGCTACCAACCATGAATTCACATCGTCTGATACTTAATTGCTATCTGCTAGTCTCCGTGTTTTTATAATCCACGGCCCACACGCACAATCCATGCAGGTAGACAACAAAGCCTGCTCACGTCGTCTTGAGAAGCTTGACCTAATTTCTCA